GAAAATCAAAAAAATCTGATGTGGTCAGCACATAACCGACCGCATTGTGTATTGTCTAGTTAAATGAAAGTGTTACAGAATATTATAAAAATGTCTGTTTAACACTTCTTTCCAATTTTTAGGACATTAGTAAGCTTATAGTTAACATACTTAAAAAAATGTAAATTTGGCTCTTAGTAGAGTTTCGCTTTGTGCTACCCGAATTCCCTGAAATGCTCGCCAGTTAGTTTCGGTAACAACCAGAACTCAAATATCAAATTTCAAGAAATTCCATCAATTTGTTCTGTGGATATGGTGAAAAATGTAAAATCGGCCCGCGAATCAGTTCTCGAGCCCTGATCCTTCCAAAAAATTTATATGTTCATTGCTTTAATATGAGGAATTCATACTTTAAATTTCAATTAAATCGGTTGATTATTTCTCTTTATATACACAAAAATGTATATTTGGCCCGTAGTAAACGCCCAGTTGCTGATGCCTGATTTCTTCCAAAAGTTAGGAATTTTTGCGTATGATCGAGCAAAGCTTATATATGAAATTTCAAGTAAATCGGTTGAATACTTTCTTCAAAATGGTGAAAAATGTAAAATCGGCCCGCAAATCCGTTTTCGAGCCCTGATCTTTCCAAAAAATTTATATGTTCATTGTTTTAATACGAGGAGTTCATATATTAAATTTCAATGAAATCGGTTGATTATTTCTCTTTATATACACAAAAATGTATATTTGGCCCGTAGTAAACGTCTAGTTGCCGATGCCTGATTTCTTCCAAAACATACGAATTTTTGTGGACGGTCGAGCTGAGCTTATATATAAAATTTCAAGTAAATCGGTTGAATACTTTCTTCAAAATGTTGAAAAATGTAAAACAGGCCCGCTAAAAAGTGCAGTTCCCGAGGCCTGATATATACGAAAAGTTGATCGATCCGTGCCATGGTGGAAACAAACTTACATATAAATTTCATCAAAATCGGTTCAGCCGAAATTGAGATACACGCGTGCACACACAGACCGACAGACCGACAGGTTGCTAAAAATAGTTTATTTACACTTCCCTACTATGGAGAAGTACGTTCCCACCGAAAACTCGATATGCAAAATTTATTGCCATCACATAACCTACCTATTGTTTACACATTACGGTCGGTAAAAAATATAGCACTCGGTTTTAAGTTTATTGTTTGCTAATAAGCTGGCACTTTAGGTATATTCGCTTTTTCAAACATGTGTTTTTTTATACACATTCACATTGAATGTTATATCATGTTACAAAAGTGTTGACAGATTTTTTCTTTAAAAGCATTATGATTTAAATACTAATGGCAACAATATAAATAGAATCTCTGCCCTGAAATCTAAATGTAAACTATCCATGTCTCATATTATCAGCTGTTTTAGTACTGTAATTATAAACATCTCTGTTGTAATTTAATATTGTACTGAAATATACGTTATCAGTAATCGTTATTTATTTGTGTAGTTTGAGTGTTTAGAATATATAGATTGACAGGGAGTATATCACACTGCTTGCGTATATAGAATGTAGATATTTTGATGTGGTAATTATACAAGTTTTTAATTTCCTGGCTCTGAATAATTTGAAGTGAAGTTATATATTGTTTAGAAGTATTACTCCAAATCAGAATTGGCTATGTTAACGTTGAGTAGAACATATTGTAAAAAATTGATTTTTTAAGTTTAAATGGTATTCTCGGACTGACGATTTTAGAATCAAAACCAACCTTTTGAACTTTTTTAATCATTTCCGCAACCTGAACAGACTAGTTCAAGTCTTGATCCAACATTACGCCTAAATACTTAAAACTTTTCACTTTCTCAATGCTGTTCTAGTCATACAATATGAAGATTTTTATATTATTCGTGATTTTAAAAAGCGTATAGTTCGGGCAGACTCATCCAAGCAAAGATTTGTCTCATATCTTGATTTGCTTTTATCTCTATGTCGTTAAAGCTTTCTGCCTTGTATATAATTGCAAGGCCATCTTCAATTATATTTTCTTGCTGTTGGAGGTTGGAGGTCAAAATACCTCCAACAGCAAGGAAATAATGTCCACCCTAATGAACACCATATTTCTCTTCCTTTATTTCACTTATCTCCATTTAGAATATTGTCGACGATTTAATAAGTACCTTTGGAATCATTTATACTCGGTGCGTGTTATTCAAATAAAATTTAAAGCAAAATAAATCTGCCAATTGAATCAGAAGCTTTATTCAAATCAAAGAATATAACCACAACCTTTTGTTTGTTACTTAAACCACTTTGAATATTCGAATTCCACTAAAATAAGGCTGCTTGTGTATTTAAATTTTTTTTAAACCGTATTGTATTCGATTTGAGAGTTCGCTAGAACTAAAATATTGAACCAATTTATTGTTAACCTAAGTCTACTTCTTGTAGACATATTAGTTCGATAAAAAGCATTAAGTGATCCGAAATATGTTCAAGATAAAACAAATACACTTTTAATCCGAGATTATTAATTAAAACATGGTCCGAGCAGGTGCCAGAAAAAAGGGAAAAGCGTTTGATTCAACAATAGTTTGATAACATTTTATGTTATCTTCTCTGCCTCTAATGTTCATGTTAAAATTGTTCATCACCAGTGCTCGTTTTTGTTCAAAGCTGATAGGTGAGAGTCAAGTTTAAAAATAAATTATTAATACTCGAGCGGCAGTTATTTGGTGATCTGTATTTTGATGAAATGTTGAAGTATTGTGACGTTAAGTCGGATTTATATATTCAAGGCTATTGTATTCTTCATAAAATATTTTTCTGCAGGATAATTTATTTCGCCTTTCCTTTTTTTCAACATGACATTACTTTAGTATAGTGTTGTAAGTTGACTAGTTGATTGTTTCTGAATACTACATCGTGTATATTATTTACGTTTCTAATTGAATGGGTATTGTATGGAATATGAATTTCATCGCTGACATGCATTTTAATAAATTTTTAAATCATTGTAATTAAAGTAATTTGTGAGCTCTTCGTTTACAAAAAGTCTCTCAACTTCAATATCTGTTATGTCACCTACACTTAAAGTTTTACTTTTTACCTTCACAATTTCCAATTTTAATGCAGTGTCTCTTAGCTTAACCAAGATGTTTTCGGTTTACCTGATATCTTGAAATTGGTGATGTTAATTTTGGAAAATATTATGTTTATACATTATTATCTAATTCGACACCCATCTTCGAAAAAAAATACTCTGCCAATTTTGAATGATTTGAAGAATCTGCACACCGGAAATTTCAATCAATTTGTTGCACCCTTTTTTTCCTTGAGTTTCTCTAATTCAATTTTAACAAAACGTTAAGTCGTCCTTCAAAATACGATTTGCATTTCTCAAGTCTACAATTCCTTTGATTATTAAATATCTCAAGCTTCTCCTGCAGTTGAAGCAAACAGTCAACAGAATTCACAACTTTATCCATTTCGTCCATGACGGGTGCTTCAATTTTCCCATCTGGGCTTCGGATAGCCGCTCAAGTTTGCATGGCGACGGCCACTTTGATTTGCGCTATTGCATCCCGATAAGAAGGTATTTTTGGGCACTGTTGAGAAATGTTGCCAGGTCCTTTTCCTTACCATTGTGCTCCGTTGACTTCTTTTTTGAAGGTCCTGCATCCAGAGTGTTGCTTTCAGATCTTTCCCTCTTCTAAGGATGGTTGGGCGCAATATCTGCTCCGCAGGCGCTCAGATTCTCCAGCCGGTCTTTCTCGTTTTTACTAGCCTTCTCTGGGAATATACCGTCCCTGATGCAGGCCCCAATACGTCGTTTGGATGCGCCAGGGACATAATGCTTTCTTCTCCTGATGTCCAGTCTTTTCAGCTCCCCTTCGGTTCTTTCAATCGTATCAAAAGGAGTTCCTCTTCTGTGTCAGTCGAGGCAAGCTCTGGTTCCGCAGATTTTTGAGCCGCCTTGTCGTTATTTTCTTTGTATAGTATGTTGTTGTTTCTGTTTTGTTTTTTGTTTTTATTACTATTCTTGTTGTTCCCACGGGTAGCGCAGGAAAGTAAAACCACCTATAGCATAGCCCGTCATACCATGGGAAAGTTTACGCCTGGTATCCAGAATTCGCACATGAACAACTAAGCTGCCCCTTAGCCATGTAGTTCTCAGCATACGCGGTTCCATCTTGACTTGGAACGCCTGTTGTTAGTTGACATCTAGATATCAGGCTGAAATTTACCAAGCAAAGAATTCTGCGCGAGACGTGGCCACGAAACGAATGTAGCTTTTGACCATTTCAATCACCTTTCTATCCTCCGCCAGGATTCCCCATAAAGGGTGACAGTGCGATTTTTGGTAGAAAGTGAACTCAAAATTAATGGACGCGGGAAGCTTCTTTCGTTTCATTTTCAGATGTAGTGAACGTATAGACTGGAAAGCGTGAGACCGAGTGGCGGTGTGGGCCCTGAGCTGTAAGGTAGACGTTCCTATCTGACAATGACCGAAATGAAGTAATAGGTCTGTCTGGTACAAGAAAGTTTTTAAAAATTTTATAAAGTTTCTGCATGCAAAGTATCTGGGATAATACTTTCTGGACATTAATGAGAGAAAATCAGGGCGCTTTCATTTTTAATAAAATTTAGTGCTTTAAAAACTCTCAAAATCGTATAGCTGTCGACACACATGCTTTTCTTGGTTATGTCAGAAGGTTTATTTTTTAAAAAAGGTTTCATCAACAATAATTTTTTTTCCAAAATTTTGTTATTAAAAATAAAACAAAATGAATTCCCATGTTATTTTTTCTTAGTTCTACAATTCAAAATCAAAATTTACTGTTTTTTGCATAACCAAAAAATATTTGGTTATTTGATAAATATTTTGAAATTTAACGTTTATCATATACATATGTATGTACATATGTACATATAAAGTTTTTTCAGCTTTTCCATTTGGTTTATTTTTTCTAAAAGAGAATTTTATTTTTCTTTGCAATAAGTTATGTCATTGTTTCCCTTTTTAAAGGTTTTTAAAGTTTTATACCAGTCAAACCTAATGAAAACACCATTTGATAGAAAGATAAACGCATCCCTGATGAGAATACTCTCAACATTGACTGAAAATGGAGCGTTCAACGAGCCAATGACAGTCTTATATTGTTTTAATTGCTCCGAAACTCATAATTTATTGCACTGAAATAATTATGATTTTCTCATATGAATTAAATTAGTAAAACGCACCAAAAATAAAAATCTTTAAAAAATATATAATTATAGGCTGATTTAATATGTTGACGCATAAAACTTGTCAAGGAAATCGAAAGAAAATGCAGGTTTGTGTTTGTAATTCGAACAACTATGGGCATAATACATGCATGTATATTAAATATTGTTTACGAAATATCGTTCAATTACTTTTTAAGGTATCATTTGTCATTCGCGATGCGGAGGAAAAGCAACATCGAAATGGAGTAAATGCATTACAACTAGATCAAGATAATGGAAAACTTTACTCCGCAGGTGGTTCTAGTACTGAGCTATTAAAAACTTAATTTATATTTTTTACACATTAGGTCGTGATGCAATAATTAGGGTATGGAACACGAAAACAGACTCGCAAGATAAATATATTCAAAGCATGGAGCACCACAATGATTGGGTAAATGACATAGTGCTTTGTTGCAAGGGAAGAAATTGTAATTTTTTAATTCATTCTTGATTTCAAATTGCAATAACTTCAATTATTTTAGTAATAAGTGCCAGCTGTGATACTACCGTTAAAGTATGGAATGCGCACAAAGGATTCTGCATGTCCACGTTACGTACCCATAGGGATTATGTTCAGGCATTAGCCTACGCTAGAGATAGAGAACAAGTTGCAAGTGCAGGGTTAGATAAAGCGATATTTCTGTGGGATGTGAATACATTAACTGCATTGACTGCCAGTAATAATACAGTCACAAGTGAATATTCTCAATTGCATAGTTTTCTAGTTCATTTTTTGAGTATAATCTTACTTATTTTTACAGCCTCTAGTCTTGCGGGATCCAAGGACTCGATATATAGCTTAGCAATGAATCCTTCTGGCACTGTAATTGTAAGCGGCTCAACAGAAAATGTTTTAAGGGTATGGGATCCAAGAACGTGTAATCGAATAATGAAACTCAGAGGTCATACGGAAAATGTTAGAGCTTTAGTTGTATCAACAGACGGTACGCAAGTAATTTCAGGAAGTTCTGATGGGACAATAAAGTTATGGAACTTGGGTCAGCAAAGGTGCATACAAACGATATCGAATATTCATAAAGAAGGTGTCTGGACGCTACTAATGTCAGAAAATTTTCAATACGTAATATCCGGAAGTAGAGATAAAAAGATTTGTATAACAGAGTTAAGAAATCCTACAAATAATTTAGTTGTATGTGAAGAAAAGGCGCCTGTTTTGAGTTTATGCTATGACATTGAAAAAACTGCTATTTGGGTATCAGTCTAAAAATTTTTGGAATTGAATTTTTTATTTATGTTTTTTATTTTAGTCAACGACATGGAATTCAGATATTAGGTGTTGGAAATTACCAAATTATGACAAAAGTACACTAAATTCTATAGAAGGTAGCAATTTCCCAAATACGAATTCCAATGAGTTAGTTTGTATTAAAGGTGACAATGTAATTTTTGTCACAAAATTCCTTTTTAAACTCTTGTATTTCAGGGGGTGCTGCTATAAAAAAATGTATGGTATTAAATGATAAACGCCATATTGTTACAAAGGACACAGAAGATAATGTGGCAATTTATGACGTTCTAAAAATTGTTAAAAAAGAAGATTTAGGGAAAATTGATTTTGACGAAGAAGTTAATAAACGCAATCAGAGAGTATACATTCCAAATTGGTTTACTGTTGATTTAAAAACGGGAGTAAGATTCACTTGTATTTACACAAATTATTAAACTGGAATCAGTATATCATTTTTTCTTTGACAGATGCCAACCATAGTTTTAGGCCAAGATGAGGTGGACTGCTTTTCTGCTTGGGTGTCAATAGAAGCAGGTTTACCAGAGTTAGCCAAACCGGGAAATGATACAAAGGTAATATGAAAATAACAGAATTTATAACAGTTTTCGTAGAAATGAAGCTCTTCCAGATAAATTACGGCAGTCTTCTTTTACAAGCTTTGTTAGAATATTGGTCGCCACCCCACAGCATGCCTCCTAATGATTTAGATCCAGACAACATTCGTGGAAACGAATATTTTTCAGTTCCTAAACATACTCCCGTTAACTTCAGGTAAGAAGTTTCAAAAATTCAAAGATCAACTTTTTTTAAATTTCGTTTCGGAAAAACAGTGAGGTTGGAGGTCGCACAGTTTGCAGATTATTGGTAAGAGACGCAGCTGGAGATAGTGAGAGTACATTATTGCACGAAACTGTTCCACCATGGGTGGCTGAAGTAGTCTTAGAAAAAGCTATACCAAAATTTATAAAAATTCCTTTTTACCTGCAACCCCACCCTCAAATGACAAAACCTGATCGAATGAAGAAGGTAAATAACCTAAAAATATATTTTTAGAAAAATCGTATGTACACATATAAAAATGTGCATGTATTTATTATACGCATGTACATGTAGGATAGACTTGTAGCGAACGAATTCATCCAGTGTCGAAAAGTATGCGAGCATGTTTTGGAAAAGGTGTTAGGCGCAGAAATAACTCCAAGTGGCGGTGCATCAAATTCATCTCAAAATAGTCAAAGTGATGCTAATTCCGAAGGCTCTCAAATCCCTCCTGAAGATAGAATAGAACTTCTTTGCAATGATGTGGTATATAGTTATATTTCTTTGAACATTATATGTGTATATATCCTTGCATAACATATTTTTTAGGTTGTTGACCCAAACATGGATTTAAGAACAGTGCGTCACTTTATTTGGAAACAGTCTGCTGATTTAACATTTCACTATAAAACAAAACCGAATTTCAATTATGATGCTAAAGTTTGAGTTTTAAATAGTATTTGCAACTATAATATTCTCAAATATTCCTTTATAAAAATGGGGCTAATGATCAAAATAATCTACTGAAATATGTGACTATCATGTACATATAAGCAAAAATTCAGTGTAATTTCAAAAATTATTACATACACACATATATATGTATGTATCCACTTTATATATTGATTTGCTTTCAATTAAGAATATACAAAAATTAATATAAGTCAAACACTACAATATTTACATATACGAATATGTACGAATAATGGAAAAAGTTAAATGTTTTTATACTCTTATGTAATTTGATTTGGATATCTGTGTATCTACGAATATACATATGTATATTCTAAAATAAAAAATGTACATGTAACTAATAAATAAAATGAAAGAAATCAAAAAGTAGATTTTACAACGTTAACAAAAAAAATTATTGCTTTGCTAAATGTTGAGAATAAATTTCAAATTTTTGTAATTGCATATCATCTGTTTCAGAATTACCTCTTATAACAAAACCCCATTTAAGTGCATCGCTGTTTGGGCCTCTATATACATCTACATTCCAACGCATTTCATCTAAAAATTCATTTTTTTTATTGTTAAAAACTTCATATAGATAGAAAGCAGCAAATATCCAATTTTACCTTTTTCTTTTTTTCCATTAATAAAATTTATTTGTGAAAGAAATAATACAAAAACCCATATGAGTAACTTAGAAAATAAATTACGTTTCATTGCGACAGCTACCAAAATTCAGAAGTTTATTTTTTTTTGAAAATGATACGATCATTATTTATGTTTTGCACTCATTGTTTAAACCAGTGATTCCCAAAAATTGCAGATCGTCGAAATGAAAATGGGGGGTCTATTTAATGAAAATTTCCTTTTAGAAAGACAATATATTATTTCATCTATAAATGAAAAATTTAATCTTTTTCTCAGCTTTCCCATCTTCACGCCTTGTAGGAAAGGGTTCCAACGTAGTTATGAATTTCATAACAAAAAAACAGACCAGACATTATTAACCGATTAAATTTGAAGTTAAACCTGACTAAATTAATGCCAAATGTTGATAATTTATTATCAAACCGTCAAGTTCATTCTCCCAATAATTTACTTTAATTTTTTATAAAATATATATAATAATATTGACTGAAAAAGCAAGTGATATGTGTAAAATTGCATTATTTTTAGTTTAGTTTTGCTCATGTTAGAAATACTTTACTTTCACTTAAATTTAATAAATAAATTAATTAAATATAATAAAATTAATAAAAAATTATAAATTTAATTAAATATGTTTTTTATTTAACTTCTTCACATCATAAGTGTACCTTGCTACTGTTACAAGTCTAAATCTATCAAAGAAAGTAGCAGGAGGTCTAACAAAAATTGAGAAACGCGACAAAGGGTCTACGAGGGAAAAGTTTGAGGATCTCTGGTTTAAACTAGAAACATACATACACACGTATACAATATGTACCATGTGAAGTGGGGAAAATTTTTCATTTTTCTCCATTAGAAATGCAACTCTTACGATACTTTTGTTTTGGAGCAAGGAATAGAAAGTAGCCATTGGCAATATCGTTCATTTCAGTGATTCGTTCTGAACGAACTACTTTTTTTTCACTGATTATAAAATCTTGTTCAATCATTTATTTCGTTCACTTCCGTTCTGTATATATAATTGCATGTTTTTTGGTTATAATTATATGGCTATTCGTATTTATGATAAACTTTGAAGAAAAGAATATGTAATGGGTTTTGTAAATTAGTAATAAGTTTTGAACCACAAAATATTTCTACTTACATATATAAACCAAAAAGTTTAAAACGTAGAGAAAGATTTAAAACTTTTACTAAAAAATTTGTTAGACGATAAGTAATTTCTTAAATTAATTAGTTTGAATTTAATATTCCTCACAAGAAATTTATAGAATAAAAATATTTGTAACTATCTTTATTTTTAATACTCGAAGGAAACTGAAATCCTATCCTAATTTAATATTTTACTTCAATTCCTAATGAGGTATAATGTTAATGGGATGTAATGATTTATTTTTTTTTAAGTTTTTTCTTTTATATTAAATATTTAGGTTAAAACGCGATAATAATTATTATCGATTAAAAAATGGATAAAAGCGGATAATTTTATGGATAAATATAATGGTAGTAATATAATGGTAGTAATATATGGTAGCCCAGTTCAAGACAAAGTATATCTACTAATAAGTAGTTCGAGTAAAGAGTTAAGCATTATACCTTCTTATTTTCATTTTTATACACATTGAAAATTTTTGGGAGAGGGAAAGAGTACACAATAGAAGTTTAATTTTTGTAACTTATTCCAGTACAAGGTGGCAAAAAATGTGTCCTTTTCAAAAATAAAAGCGAAGCGGAAGTGTTTAAAGAAAAATATTATAAAGTGAAAAATATTATTAAAAGTGTTTAAAAAATATCATAATTTATATAATATAATTTTGAAAAATAATAAAAATAAATTTTGAAAAGACGTATAATATTTAAAAAAATTTAAATAATTGTGAAATACATTATTTGAAGTGTTTGAGACATAATTTTGTGAGTGAGGAGAAAAAGCCGACACGAAAATTTCATTTTTATTTTTATTTCAATCTTAATAAATTTAAAATATATTTCCCATGAATTGGTAATAATTATGTTTCATAAAGTATTAACCAGTATGCATACACCTTTTTTGCTTTATAAATTACTTTATTTTTATGTCACTACCTGATACTGTTTATCTACTGTACCAAGTACATCCATGTGTACATTCATACATTAAAATTCAAACGCATATATCTTTTGCTTTCATACATTTGAATTTTTTACCTAACTTTAATAAAATGGAAAATAAATTTTGTTATTATCAAAATAAAAATAACAAAATTCTTAACTAACTTAATTTAATTTTATTTCAGTTCAATGTTTTTGATACACTCGTTTGTTTACAATATTTTGTTTCTTTCTTGCCTACACAACTCTTATTACCATCTAATTCTAAAAAAAAATGGAATATTTTAAGGATTTGAAAGCAAGATGCAAACGAAAACTAACAGAATGGAACGAGTCGAAATACTTATTAGTAGATATGCTTTGGTTCAAGGCTTCCTTTTTTTTATTTCATACAGGTAGCTTTCAATTTGATATGGAATATTTATAGAAGCAAATGAGAAGTAAAATAAATGAAATCCTATACACACAAAAGTAACCTATAGTTGCTAATATAAATACAATACAAGTAAAATTGAACGAAGTTCAATCGGAGATCAATAAAAACGAACAATGTACTCTTATATGGAATGTTAATAAAAGCAAATGGGTGGTAAAATAAATGAAATTCTATACACACAAATGACCGGATCAGTTGCTATTATAAATACAATACAAGTAAAATTGAACGATATACTAAATCCAATACCAATAAAAACGAACGAAACCTGAAGTAAACCCGTTTAGTTTATTACCAGATTATTTTTTCTTTTTGCGAGAAGTTACGTCATTGTTTTTCTTTTTGAAGTTTTTTTTAGTTTTGTTCCAGAAAGACGTTAAATTTTACTTTACAGAAGTTGGGAAAACTTTAAACATTGAGAAAATGAAAACTCGAAAACGTTATTATTTTCTTTGATTTTTGTTCAAAGAGTATTATCCCAGACGGCAAACCTTTATAAAGTTTTTTCAAGCTTTTAAAAACTTTCTTATACCAGACGGACAAAATTTATGTCTCAAGCTGTCCATAGGTAGTTCAATTTGGTCCTTCAGGTTGCTTTTTTCAGGTTTCAACAAATGCTACACTACAAAAAAAAAAATCTGATGTGGTCAGCACATAACCGACCGCATTGTGTATTGCCTAGTTAAATGAAAGTGTTACAGAATATTATAAAAATGTCTGTTAAATACTTCTTTCCAATTTTTAGGACATTTGTAAGCTTATAGTTAACATACTTAGAAAAATGTAAATTTGGCTCTTAGTAGAGTTTCGCTTTGTGCTACCCGAATTCCCTGAAATGCTCGCCAGTTAGTTTGGGTAACAACCAGAACTCAAATATCAAATTTCAAGAAATTCCATCAATTTGTTCTGTGGATATGGTGAAAAATGTAAAATCGGCCCGCAAATCAGTTCTCGAGCCCTGATCTTTCCAAAAAATTTACATGTTCATTGTTTTAATACGGGGAATTTATATATTAAATTTCAATGAAATCGGTTGATTATTTCTGTTTATATACACAAAAATGTATATTTGGCCCGTAGTAAACGTCTAGTTGACGATGCCTGATTTCTTCCAAAACATACGAATTTTTGTGGACGGTCGAGCTGAGCTTATATATAAAATTTCAAGTAAATCGGTTGAATACTTTCTTCAAAATGTTCAAAAATGTAAAACAGGCTCGCTAAAAAGTGCAGTTCCCGAGGCCTGATATATACCAAAAGTTGATCGATCCGTGCCATGGTGGAAACAAACTTACATATAAAATTTCATCAAAATCGGTTCAGCCGAACTTGAGATACACGCGTGCACACACAGACCGACAGACGGACAGACCGACAGACCGACAGACCGACAGACCGACAGACCGACAGGTTGCTAAAAATAGTTTATTTACACTTCCCTACTATGGAGAAGTACGTTCCCACCGAAAACTCGATATGCAAAATTTGTTGCCATCACATAACCTACCTATTGTTTACACAATACGGTCGGTAATAGAGCAAATTTCGTTCAAAAGAAAATGTACATTTTCTTTTGAACAAGTTTAGGGAGTCGTCTCCGGTATGGAAATATATATACAGGGTGCCCGCGACTCAATTCCCGAAGTAGGGTGATAGAATGAATTCAGATGAACAAAAAACGCCTTATAACATTTTTCTTTTTGGGCCCTTTTTCTCGAGTTGCGGGGCTTCAAAGTTGCAACATGCAAAAACCGTGTAATTTTCACATTTTTATTAATAACTCGAGAAATATGACAGGTAAATCTAACCTTAATTATTAATTTTAAAGCTAAAAAAATTTTCGTTTTAACTGTATACCGTTTTAGTTTCAGTGATATTCAAGTTCAAAGTTAAAATTTAAAAAAAAATTTTTTCTAAATTTTCAGTTAACCGTCATTTACTAATAAATCCACGTTATCAACCTATCGTTTCTTTTAAAGGAAGAAGAGCCCTATATTCTGACCTTCATTTTGATATAACATTATGTGGGAAAAATTTTAAAAATAACATGTCTATCAGGCGAAAACTGTGTTCAAAACCTTAGAATATTAACTAAAACAAAGTATTTTTCAAAATTTTTATAATCTTTATTACGCAGTATTATGCATTATTAACATGCACTTTTTCTTTTTCAAAATGAAAGACAATGATAAGTTTCAGGAATATCGTGTCTGCGAGGGTCAAATTTATAAAAAAAACAACAAAAACGAGTTTTTTCGTAGCAAAATAATTATAATCCAAGTAAAATTCACCCTTTGATCTGTGTATTTTGACATTATTCTAAAAATCCAGTTATTGATCTTCACGTATAGTTAATGTGGAAAATTTTAATTGGACCTATTCGGACAACGATAATGTTATAATGATATAAAACTACAAAAGCACTATAATAATAATTAAAATAATAGTTGAAACCTAAAATCTAATAATTACAAATTTAAATTAAATAACAAATAAAATTTTTAATAACTTTGTTTTATTTAGTGTATTTGGGTCTAAATTTTTATTAATATTATTATTTTTTACTCTCAATTCTCTCAGATAACGTGTATTCGGAAAAAACTCAAAAATGTATTTAATGAAAAAACGCTTTAGATATAAGTCTGTAGGATGACATATACCTAGCGATACAAATACCGAATGCGTATGGTTTTAGAAAGTACCAACCATCAAACGATATCTGTCAAAGTTTTATTTTTATTTACGATATCTGTCAAAGTGTGAACGATTGAACTAACTTTTGTGAATTGAAAAAAAGTGTAAAAATCAGAATTTCGTGTGCTCATCAAGCATTGCTTTTTGATGGGAAAAAAAGTGCAGACCAAACAATGGCTTGATAAGTATAATTCGGACTCCGAAAACATCAAAAAAATTTATAAAATCGTCTTATCCGACCGCAAATTGAAATTGAAGGAGAATACCGAGGCCGCATAGTTATCAGATACATATTTACGATATTACACGAACATTTGGGTATGAGAAAGT